GTGCACCCCAATGTTCATTGCAGCACTGTTTATAATAGCCAGGACATGGAAGCAACCTAGATGCCCATCAGCAGACGAATGGATGAGGAAGCTGTGGTACATATACACCATGGAATATTACTCAGCCATTAAAAAGAACTCATTTGAATCAGTTCTAATGAGATGGATGAAACTGGAGCCCACTATACAGAGCAAAGTAAGCCAGAAAAATAAAGACCATTACAGTATACTAACACATATATATGGAATTTAGAAAGATGGTAACGATAACCCTATATGCAAAACAGAAAAAGAGACTCCTATGTATAGAACAGACTTTTGGACTCTGTGGGAGAAGGCGAGGGTGGGATGTTTCAAGAGAACAGCATCGAAACATGCATATTATCTAGGGTGAAACAGATCACCAGCCCAGGTTGGATGCATGAGACAAGTGCTCGGGCCTGGTGCACTGGGAAGACCCAGAGGGATGGGGTGGAGAGGGAGATGGGGGTGGGGGGTGGACCGGGAATGGGAATACATGTAAATCCATGGCTGATTCATTTCAATGTATGACAAGAAAAAAAAAAAAAGCAATGTAAGAACACCTTATGTGAAATATTTTATTCATCTTCGTAAAAAATTAACAAGCAGCCGACAGGAATTATTTCATTTGGCTGCTCTGATAGTTCCTGCTTCTCTTTCCAAGGCTCTGGAGGTTGAGCTGTTTCTCAAGGGAATACCAGCTCAGCACAAACCTCAAGGTGATTTCTGCTTAGAGAGGGAACTTGCTGACAGACAGCAGGGCCTGGGGGTGAGGGAGATGGGCTCAGCGGCTCTGACTGTGCTGTACAATCTCCACTGTCACCTCCCTGCTGGTGAGGGTCCAGGTAGCTATTCAGTGTCTCTGCTGTCCACCCACCTCGTCAGAGAGGGTAGGCCTGTGGCAGGGAGATCTGTGATGGGCCAGCGGGCTGGAAGGGTGGTCTGGAGTGCAGGATGCCAGGGGCAGTGTGGGAGGCAGCAAGGCTGGAGAGAGAGGGCTAAGGTTCCCTTTGGAAGGCCATGTTGTCTACATCACAAAGTGGATTTTTAACCACAGGGAGATGGAAAGGCACTTGAAGTTTTAAGCACAGGACTACTATGATTAGTTTTGTAGTCATTCTGACCAGTAGCTCCGTAGCTAAGCAACGGGTGGTCCTCACAAGCATTTCCATTGGCACCACCAAGGAAATGTATATTTAGTTAGAAACCTGTGCTTGTTATATAACCACAGAAGGAAAACAAGAATGGTAATAGCTAATACTGATTAAAGCTTCCTTTGTGCCACTGTTCTAGGTGAACTTTTAAAATGTGTCAACTCAGTCTTCACAGGAAGGAATGGAAACAAGGTCCGCAGTTAGTACCTAGTGGTGCTGGGATGTGAACCTGTTCAGGCTGGACCCAGAAGCCATGCCGTGATTACAGCACTATACTTCCTCAGTATCACCCTCAGCCCCATTTCAACTGGGTCATCTCCCCTAAGCCACACTCATACAGAAATTCTGGGACTTCCCTGGTGGTCCAGTGGTTAAGAAACCTGCCAATGCAGGTTCCATCCCTGGTCTGAGAACTAAGATCCCACGTGCTGTGGAGTGGCAAAGCCTGTGCACCATGACACTCTGGGGCCTGAGCACCACAGCTACTAAGGCTGCATGCCTAGAGCCCACACTCTGCAACAGGAGAAGCCATGGCACCGAAATGAGAAGCTGTGCACTGCATCTAGAGAGAAACCCCCACTTGCAACTAGAAAAAGTCTGTGCGCAGCAATGAAGACCCCGTGCAGCCAGAAATAAATACATAATAAAAAATTCTGGAGTCACCACTGATTCTGGCCGGGTGAAGCACGGGTTAGGAAGGTTTTAGTCTAGAAGCAGGGCTGTCAGGAGAGTGTTGCAACGATGCTGCTAGACATGGTGGTGACCAGGAGCAGTGGGGACAGAAATGGAGGAATATGAGAGAAATTAAGGAGACCAGGACCTGATCATTCAAACAAATGAGAAAATGTGCACTGAATGCTTAGCACCAAGCTTACTACATGTTCTTTTTGATATACCAAAATACTTATGATATTTTTATTATTACCAGTTGGGTTATTCTCCAGATTTAAGTCATAGCTTTTAATAATAAGCATGAAGCAAATAGCCAGAGGTAAATTTTTTTTACAAAAAAAAAGAAACATATGAATAGCCTTGTATGGAATATGCAACAATCATCGCCCATTTTGATCTTAAAACAAGATCAAAGCTAGGGCTGCTGTAATAAAATACCACAAACTGGGTAACAACAGAAAAAAAAATATTGTCTCACTGTCTTGGAGACTAGCAGTCTAGGTGGTTCCTCCCGAGGACCACGAGAAGAATCTGTTCAGGCCTCACCCCTAGCTTCTGGTATTAGTTGGCAATCTTTGGTGTTCCTTGGCTTCTAGATCTCTGCTTCCATCTTCACATGCTGTTCTCCCTGTGAGTGTCTGTGTCCAACTATCCCCTTTATATAAGGACACCAGTCATGTTGAATTAGGGCCCACCCTACTCCAGTGGCTTCCCTGGTAGCTCAGCTGGTAAAGAATCTGCCTGCAATGTAGGAGACCCCAGTTCGATTCCTGGGTCAGGAAGATCCACTGGAGAAGGGATTACACCAGTCATATGGAACTCCAGTGTGGGTTGCCCTGGTGGCTCAGACGGTAAAGAATCCACCTGCAATGCAGGAGACCGGGCTCGATCTCTGGGTTGGGAAGATCCCCTGAAGAAGGGCATGGCAACCCACTTCAGTATTCTTGCCTGGAGAATCGCCATGGACAGAACAGCTTGGCGGACTACAGTCCATGGGTTGCAAAGGGTTGGACATGACTTAACGACTAAGCATAGCAGTACTCCAGTATGATTTCATCTTAACTAATCACATCTGCAGTGACTGTTGCCAAATAGTCACATTCTGAGGTCCTGGGGGTCAGGACTTCAAAATATGAGTAGGGAGAGGCACACTTCAACTTGTAATATTTTTATAACAGATGGAGCAGGAATTACTCCTACTCCCATTTTAAAGATAAAGAAACTGATTCTCAGAGAGACAAAGTAATTCACCCAAGGTAAGTGATTCCTGGGTCACAAATGCAAGTCCGCTCTGTCCAGCTCAGTAGTCAGAGAGCCAGACAGTACCTCTTGCTATGAGTTTGTCGAGCTTTTCTCGCACACTCGGCCCAACAATATCTGAGGCCACACCTAGGTATGTAAAGAAAGGGAGGAGTGGTCAGATGTGGTCTCTTCTTGGAATCAACTGCAGACATCTTGTCAGTCCTAGTGACCATTTTGCTTGTTCAATTGTTGTCCCTGTGGCTATACCTCATGAGGGCTTAACCTCTAGGGGAACTGTTTGCTCAAATTGTTCCTCGTGAGTCTATCGTTTCTCTCTGGTGGGCCCATCCCTGAGCTGAGGACAGCTGGGTACAATGAGCCTATTCGGGGCAGCAAGTAAAATACCCTGTGCTTCCCTTCTCTCTCCATGGCGTCATTCTTTGCCTCCCTGTGCCTCTCTTTTGTCCTGCCTATTGCATAACATCAGTGTGGGTGCAGGCAGTGTGTGAGTTGGCAGCAACGAGACTGTGGCGGAGGACACCTACCTGCCTGATGACTTGTGCACCGGAGCAGGCAGCACTGGGCAAGCTTCCCAGGGACTGCTTTGCCACCATGCCAGCTCTGACCTGCACCTTCTGTTCTGTCTGAGTCACTCTCAGCAGCTCAAGCCGGTATCCCCTAATGGGTTCCTCTGGGCAGAGAGCGGGGACACACCCCATCTTGAACCCCCATCCCTGGGAGGCAGTGTAGGAAGCAGTCAAGTGCAGAGTCTGGACACAGATTCTAATCCCAGCTCTGCCACTTACCAACCATGTGAAGTTAGGGAAGAAGCTTCCTATTCCTATGTCATGTCTTCATTTGTAAAACTGAGATAAGTTTGTTTACCTCATGAGGTTATCACATGCATAAATGACATAGTCCATAAATGGTGCCTAAAACAACATGTCTGTAACATAATTCTAGCACTCAGTAAATGTAAGCAGTATTTCCTTACTTGTTTATTTCCTAAACATCATTTATTAATCTGCTCATTGAAAACTGGCAAGATAACATATCAAGAAGTTACCAGTTGTTATGTCTGGATGGTGGAGTTTCAGGTGACTTTATTGTCTTATTTTTGCTTATCTGTATTTCCTAAACTAGAGAACAGCATTGAAACACGTATATTATCTAGGGTGAAACAGTTCACCAGCCCAGGTTGGGTGCATGAGACAAGTGCTCGGGCCTGGTGCACTGGGAAGACCCAGAGGGATTGGGTGGAGAGGGAGGTGGGAGGGGGGACCGGGATGGGGAATACATGTAAAATAAAAACAAACAACAACAAAAAAAAAACAATAAAAGATATTTAGAGACGCCAAAAAAAATAAATAAATAAATAAACTTCTTACTGTTTTAATAAAACAAACTCTCACTGAGGATCTACAGAGTGAAGCGAACTAGTGGGTACAAAGCAAAGATATGTCCGCTGTCCTTAGTGGAGTTTAAAGTCTATGGAAGGAGACAAAACAGATAGATTAATGATGTAATAAAGGGATGCAGTAATGCTCAGGGTGGGCTAAGGATTGAACTAGTCTCCCTCAAATGGCACCTGGCATTACAGAAATGCCATTGGGTTTTCCCCAGCAGTCTTTGTGTCTGACCTTCACTGATCTGGAAATAGGAAAGTAAGATGATGCACACAGTCAGACAAAAGAGCCACTCCTTTATATATCCCAGCACCCAGGGGGCCGAGGATGGAATGGCTGAGATCCCTTTCTGGGGCACCTATTTCTAGGAAAGGACATACGTTGAAGAAACAGTTGAGAGTCTTTGTATAGCACCTCTCACAAAGGGCAGGCATGAGCCCAAGTTGCACAGCAGCGTGGTAAGTGGAATAAAGAAGTAACTTCCTGTCTCTTTCTCTCTCCATAGCATTATTAGCATCATCATTATTCTGGCTGGAGCAATTGCATTTATCATCGGTTTTGGTATTTCAGGTATGTGATTTCCTGCATTACCACGATCAGTCAGCCCCTAATCATTTAACGTGTAGATGGCAAGAACACGGGGTCTGAACCCAGCATGCCTCAGAGGAGAGCACTGGTTCTTCTACATGTTGGCTGCGTTCTCTGCCCTTTAGTCATTTAACTCCCCAGACCTCAGTTCCCCCATATATGATGTGGAGGAAACAATATCTACATCCCCAGGTAGTTGAGAGAAACAAATGGAATGTCTCTCAGACTGTTCTCTTCACTAGACAGTGCTGAAGCTATCATTCTGGGATCACAGCTAAGTGCCTTGGCTGAGCCATTCTATCAACAGGTGACCTGAGTAGATGATTCCTTTGCAATGAGGCTTCAGCTGAAGTGTTGAAGAATATCAAGTCTTCAAAGACAGGGTTCTTAAACAGAATACTTACTGGTCATAACTGCTGTTCCATGTGGGAAACAGACACCACTGTGGCATGGATGGTGAGTTTCCAAAGGCAGTCAACTGATGTCGGTTGCAGAAAGTCCTCTCTTCTGTGTAGGCCACATCTCAGGAGCATCTATTATGGATGCCAGATTAAGACGTTGAATGAATTAGACCAGCAGCTGTCCTCTCTGAAGCAAGTCATTTGCTTCATTTCCCTTGAAGCGCCTGACTCAGGCCAACACATTTATTTTAACTTAGACTGTGGCCAAAGCTGTCACTTGATAACTTTAGTTCTTATATTTCCAGCTGTCTTTTCTCTCTGTCACTCTCCTCCAATGTGTATGCTGCCACTAAATAGTAATCACAAGGCCTAAATAAATAAAACTCATTGTAGATGTGTTTGCCTAGAGAAGATATTAGCATCTTTCTCCATTTTCTTTATCGATAAAAATGTGTATTTTGTCTTTCATATATTTTTCTCTTGGGTTATCTTTTTCTTTTGATATGTAGGAATTATATGCTGAGTGCAATTTGGTTATATGTATTGAGAAATCTCTTCTACTCCTTGGCTTGCTTTTTCACTCTCTTAAGAATGTCTTTCAATGAGTGAAGTTCCTAATTTTAACACAGTCCAATTTATCTTTTTCTTTATACCAGTAATTTTTTGTAAGCAGTTTGTTTAAGACATCTACCTATTCCAAGGTCATAAATATTTTCTTCTAGGTTATCTTGTAGAAGCTTTAATGTTTAATCTCTCAAATTTATATCTACAACCATCTAGAATAATTTTGTGCATGGGCAAAGACGATGGTTAAGATGGGTCAAAACACTATCCTTCCCCCACTTCTCATTAGTGTTATTTTTATCATAAATCAAGTATCCAAATGTGTATGGATCTGTTTCTGAGCTCACTAGCCTATTTCATTCTAATATTCTTTTATAATTTGTTTTCTCTTTGTCTTATCTCTTCCTATTCCTAATCTTGGGTGCTCTTTCTCCCCCAACCTTCTGTCATCTTAAAATAGATTTACAAGGTGTTAATTAGCTTTATAGTAGTTTTGAAGGAACCAGGTTTTGGTTTTATTTTTACTTTCTCTGATTTCCTTATTTAATTAATTCTAACTTTTATCTTTATTAATGTTCCTCTTCCTGCTTTGTTTTGCTGTCTTTTAATTCTTTTTTTTTTAAGTGATGACCCATTTAAGTTCTTTTTTATTTAAAAAAATCTTTGTTGAAGTATAGTTGATTTATAATGTACTAATTTCTGCTTCATAGTAAAGCGACTCAGTTATACACATATGTACATTCTTTAAAAAAAAAAATCTTTTCACTACGGTTTAATCCAGTAGACTAGATATAATTCCCTTTGCTATACAGTAGGACCTACCTGTTGCTTACTTTTAATTCTTTTTCTAGTATCTTAAAATAAGCAATTCACAAAACAGTATGTCCAGAAAGCCAATAAACAGATCCTAGTAGATACTGCCATTTCATTTTCCAAAGTGATTTACCAAGTTATTCTTAACCAGAGGTGTATGAGGGACCCAGTGCGTCACGTCCTCACCATCACTGGATATTGTGGAATACTGCTGTGATTTTAACTTCTATTTCCTGGTGACTGAGAGATGTATGTTCTAAAATGAGAAACATAATGTTGAGCAACAGAGCAAGACACAGAACAGTACATTCTATATAAAAAACGGGGACTTCCCTGGTGGTCCAGTGGCTAAGACTCCGAGTTCCCAAGGTAGAGGGGGCCGGGTTTGATCCCTGGTCAGGGAACCAGATTCCAAACGTGTAGCAACAGTTCCTTGAATACAAAGAAGACTCTTTAAGTGTTTTTTGAATAGACAAGTGGACAGAGGCAAGGAGGGGTAAATACATAGATAGAAGTCACAGTTCACTCGGTTCAGCCATGAGCTACCAATAATATTAAAACCCTACCACCAATGAAAGGTTTTCTGCCTTCTTTCTCCTTCAAAAAGTAAAAGCTGGCTATTTTAGATTAAATGGACTGTTTATTAGTTTAACGCTATTTAGTTGGATTTTTCTCAATTGCCTATTTATTAAAAGAACCATAACCGGTACCTGAGAGCATGACATTACCACATTTTAAATGAGTTAGATAAAATGTTAGCTGGATTAATATAATAGACAATGAAATTAAGCAAATAGCATTAGGTAGATGATGGTGGTGGTGGCGGTGATATTTTTCAAATCTTTTTTGTGTTCACCTCATGGTGCCAAATAACTTTGCCTATATTATCTGATTTACAACTCACAACAAATAAGAGATAAATATTACTATGTCCTGATTAGAAACTTGTGTAAAGTCGCACACAGCTAGCAACCAGGCACAAACACATAATTGCATTTCAAGCCCTGGACATTTGCTTCCAGAACCCACACTCCCACCCATCGCCCTATACTCATGACACTCATGTAACAGAGCTGTAACACAGAAGGATGTTTTCTGGTGTACCTTGCAGGCATTATTCCTGAGACCACAGATGATAAAGATTTTCTAAATACAGAAAAAAAAATCTATTTCATTGTAACTTTCCTGAGGCTGTATAGGTCACCTTCTGATAGGTATTCCACTCCTTCTAAACTCTAAATATAGACCCCCCCAAATGCATTTGAGGTGGTTGGTTGGGAAGAGAGGCTGAGCAGCTCCCATCAGGCTGGTTTTAGGGCAGCCTTGGTGGGTGACCCTGTAAGAAGGAGGGAGATGCAGTGGAAAGGCCCCTGACGGTATTCTGCTAGTCTGCGCTGTCACCCAACCCGTGGGTAACTTCGAACAGCTCTGTGTGGTAGAAACACTTAGAGATCGGAGTTGCTCTAACCTCAGGGATAACATTGTGTATCCTTTGGGATGTAACTTAACTTTCTAGAACCTCACTGGAAAAATAGTGAGAGTCCTTGTGGGAATTACATGAGAAAGTGTTTATAAAGTGCCAGACACATATATGTGTAATAAATGGCTGCTATTATTGTTTACATTGATACCATCAGTGCCATTAATCATTTGCTATTATTAATGCATTCACACAGCACCTCCTAAAACTTGTACAATTTCCTGGCCACACCAGGCAATTCCTCTGAAGTTAGGGAATCCTGGACACTGGACACTGCCTCCTAATGATGCTCCATCTTTGGTCACTGGATAAACAATAAGGCAGGTTCCTCGAAGAGTCAGACATGACTGAGCGACTTCACTTTCACTTTTCACTTTTATGCATTGGAGAAGGAAATGGCAACCCACTCCAGTGTTCTTGCCTGGAGAATCCCAGGGATGGGGTCGCACAGAGTCCGACACGACTGAAGTGACTTAGCAGTAGCAGTAGTCTGGCACCAAAACACAAACATTGAAGTTGTTTGAAAAGAAATTGATACTTTTTTTTTCACTGAAGTCATCTGGGAAATCAAATAGATGTTGACCTTTCTTATACTTCTTTTAAGTTTTTAATTGTTTTTATTTTTACAGGAGGTGGGGATACTGTTTTCATGGGTAGGCTCTCCACATATCTCAATCTGGTCCTGGATATCAGCAAAATGTGATAGAAGGAATACAGACTTAGAGCTTCCCTGGTAGCTCAGCTGGTAAAGAATCCACCAGCAATGCAGGAGACCCTGGTTTGATTCCTGGATTGGGAAGATCTGCTGGAGACAGGAATGGCTACCCACTCCAGTATTGTGGCCTAAAGAATTCCATGGACTGGAAAGAGTTGGACACCACTGAACGACTTTCACATTCAGGCTTAGGAAAAACTCAGTCAAGACTGAGTTTGATACTGGCTCCACTACTAGCTAGATATAGGGCTTTAGGCAAGCCATTTAATCCCACAGAGCTTCTTTATCCTATTCATAAAATGGGTAGAACAGTATAATTCCTGCCTCTCAAGGTTGTTATCTGGCTTAAACTGAATCACTGCAAGCATTTAGTAAAATATTTCTTTCCTCCTTGTGTGCCGATCTGCAATCTTTCTAAATGATTCTAACTAATAATGGTCATCAATATCATTGATTTAAGGTTCAACACGTGGCAAGTCAGGTACCATGCTAAGCTCTTTACTTACACTGTATCATTTAGTCCTTTCAGGGACCCTCTGAGGGAGCTACTATTATTAGTATCCCCATTTTACAGATTATGTGGATTTACAGATAATTTCATTTAAAAAATTATGGAATAGAGAAATTAGAAAATTTGCCCAGGTCCCACATCCAATAAGTGGCAGAGCTGGGACTTGATCACCCAGAGCTTGATACCTATTCTTACATGCCAGGCTCTGCTGCTGCTTCCTTGTTGTTCAGTTTCTAAGCCATTTTTGACTCTGTGACCCCATGGACTGCAACACACTGGGCTTCCCTGTCCTTCACCATCTCCTGGAGTTTGCTCAGATTCATGTCCCTTGAGTCAGTGATGCTATCTAACCATCTCATCCTCTGCCACCCCCTTCTCCTTTAGTCTTCCATCTTTGCCAGCATCAGGGTCTTTTCCAGTGAGTCAGTCCTTTGCATCAGGTAGCCAAAGTATTGGAGCTTCAGCTTCAGCATCAGTCCTTCCAATGAATGTTCAGGA